AGCCTAAACTCCAGAATGAAATAAATTTACAATTTATGCAATGATGTATCAATAATTTTATCTACTCATTATAGTTATCATTAGATTTTATTAAACATTATCGTCATCATTATCAACTTTACCACCTTCTTCAGATTCTGAACTTTTTCCTTTATCAGCTTCCTCTTTTGGAGCTGTAGTTCCCTTTTTAGATTTTCCACCACCAATAAATGAAAATAGTTCTTTTGCTTTTGATGAAGTACTTTTTGGTGGTGAAGTAACCTGTTCTGATGACGGATCAAGTTGTTCCATCATTTTTGATTGATAAGTTGGAGCACCAGTCGTGCTATAAGTTGATTGTCCGGGTTCTCCCGTTGACTCAATAATTCCAGAATCTGATTTTCTTTTAGGTATTGATTGTGCTTTTTTTAAAGTTTCACCAATCTCACCAGATGTACCTTCTTCAATATTAATAATACTTTCTCCAACATGTCCGTATGGAATATCATGAATTTGCATATCATCCCTGGGATATGAAATAGTTGGTACACCATCATCTTTCATGGTAAGATATTCATGACGAACTTCAGAATGAGTTGGAGATGTATCACTTTCTTTTCCACTATTTGGACTTTCTGGTTTCGATGGGATGTCGGGGGATTCAGCTCTAATCTTTCGTTTAAGCAACATTGACGAATAAATTAAACAGGCAATTTTGAATAACATGATTATACAACTTGATGATAATGTTATTATTGGTATTATGCTCGGTAGGATTGTGTATATATGATACAATGTCTATTTACACGAAATCAATTGATCCAGTTATATAATTAGACAAATGAACGAAAAATAGTCATTTAAAGAAGAGAGATATTTTTTTTTAATAGTTGATTAAATCAACTTTTAATAATACTCACCAAAATAATAAGTTGTGGTAAATCTTCAATTATTATCGAAATAATATTAAATAATCTAATACGTTTCATGGCAATTACACTAAAAGGAGCACTTAATTCTTCGAGTCGACCACATTCAGATGATAAAATATTTAAAACATCAATATCTGCGCCTGCTAAAATAGTGAATAATAAGGCTGTTTTACTACTACGAAACCACCAATTACTAAATTTCTTATTCTTCGATATTTCTCTAGATATTAACAAAAATGTAAATCCAGAATTTACGATAATTGGGATCGTTATAAATATTACACTATAAAAGAAAAAAATGGAATGAATATTAGAATTTATAATTAAGTTTTATACGATTAAAAGATACCAATTTGAGTTTATATGTATATGTAATATACCTTGCAGGGTACAACCAATACAAGTCTTGACCGTGAACTATTACAAATAATATATCTAACACGAAATCGATTGCCAGAAACGTAAACATGAATACTGCACAATGTTTTCCCTATTTAAAAAAATTCATGATAATCAGAAATTTAATAAAATATTCGATTTATATATATATATATATTTTAGATATCATTATGGC